AGGAGTGCAAACTGTTTAACCTTATTTAATCCTTTATGATTTCACTTTCCCATTTATGTTTTATTACTTCTCTTGAGTCTTGGATTTGAAAGTCAAATTTTCTATTCAGCTCTGGTATTTTCATCAGGAATGCTTAAACATTCTCTATTTCATTAAATGTCCATTTCCCCCTGAAGGATTATACTCAGTTTTGCTGGGTAGATGATTTCTTGATTGCAATCCTAGTTCCTTGGCCCTCCAGAATATCATATTCATAGCTCTCCATTCTTTTCATGTAGAAACTGCTAAATCTTGTGTTATCTTGACTGTGGCTCCATGATATTTGAGTTGTTTCTTTCTGGCTGCTTGCAATATTCTCTCCTTGACCTGGGAGCTCTGGAACTTGGCTGTAATATTCCTGGGAGTTTTCCTTTTGGGATCTCTTTCAAAAGGTGATCAATGGTTTCTTTCAATTTCTATTTAACCCTCTGATTTGAGGGTACTATGGCAGTGTTCCCTAAAACTTTCTTGAAATAGGATGTCTAGGCTCTTTTTTGTTTATCATGGCTTTTGGGTCAGTTGTTTTTCCAATAAGATACTTCACATTTTCTTCAACTTTTTCATTCATTTTGTTTTATTGTTTCTTGATGCCTCAATGGAATCATTAGCTTCCACTTGCCCAATCTAATTTTTAAGGAAATATTTTCTTCAGTGAGCCTTTGTCCCTCTTTTTTCCATTTAAGCAGTTCTACTTTTCAAGGAATTCTTTTCTTCAGTGAATGTTTGTGGATCTTTTTTCCATTTGGCCATTTCTGCTTTTTAAGGAGGTCTTCTCCTCAGTGGATTTTTTGCCTCTTTTACCATTTGACCTATTCTGTTTTTGAGGTATTTTTATGTCTCCTTTACCAAGCTGTTGACTTTTTTTTAATGATTATCTTGTATCCCTCTCATTTGTTTTCCCAATTTTTCCTCTACCTCTCTTATTTGATTTTTAAAATCCTTTTTCAGCTCTTCCAGGAATTCTTTTGGGCTGAGACCAAATCACACATTTCTTTAAGGCTTTAAATGTAACTGTTTTTAACGTTGTTTTCCTCTTTTGAGTTTGTGTTTGGATCTTTCCTCTCATCATAGTGTCTTTCTATAGTCAGGTTCTTTTTTGTTGTTTACTTATTTTTACAGCCTAGTTCTTGACTTTTAGCTTTATGTTAAAATTGGACTCTGATTCCAGGATGGAAGGGGCACTGTCCCAATCTTTGGGGTTTTTATGCTGTTTTTGTTCTGTGTTTTCAGAGTTAGTTCTGGGCATCTGTAAGTTTTTAGTTCTTCCATGGTGCTCTCTCAACCTACGCTCTAGTCTGTGAGTGACCACAAGCACTCTTTTCTGCCCTGAATCTATGACCAGGGTCCATGCTCCCCTGTGGCCACACACTCTACTGTGCTACTCCTCCTCCTCACCCTAAGATTGTAACCTGGAATTATGTATGATCAATGTAATAGAGTCATTCTGGGCCTTGCACCGTACTGTGCTCCATTTTCACCTCCGTGAAACAGATCTTTTCTGTCAACCTTCTAAGTTGTCTTGGGCACCCCATCCTTTTGTTGGTTCTGAAGCTCTAGAATTCATTTTGAGACATTCTTTTAGAGTTGTTTAGAGGAAAATTTTAGGAGAGCTCTGGCATGTGACTGCCTTTGCTTTGCCATCTTGGCTCCACCCCTCAGGACCAGTTTTTGACCTGTCAAAATCAGAAAGTAAGAATCAACTTGTTTGATTTATTACATGGCAAAAGATCTCATTTTCTCAGGTGACTTGTAGTTCTAATATTATCTGAATATGGTAGCCTACCAGAAGTTCAATATACTAAAAAAAGACTACTGGTCCTGGAGCCAGATTCAAATCTCACCTCTGACATAGGCTACCTAAGTAACCTTAACCTCTCTGGGGCTCATTTCCTCAACAGTAAAATAAGTAAGTTGGTCTAGACCTCTGAGGTCCCTTTCATCTGTGTATCAATTATGTTAGACACAATAATAATAGGTTCTTTTGAAATATCTTCTTTTGTAGATTATTATTATTCACCCAAAAAAGTACCAACATAAAATATCTTTGTACCAATGATGTCCAAACACTATACTGATAAACTTTACTGTAGTTACAGAAAAAGGCCTTGTTTCATAGAGTTTTAGAGCAAGAATATACATTACAACAAATTAAATGCTAGGTCAGAGCTGAATCAATGTTTCAATCAGTGAGCCAGTCAATGAACATTTATTAAACACCTACTTTGTGCCAGGTACTGTACTAAGCACTAATGATACAAAAAGAGGCACTAGAAAAGCCCTGCCCTCAAGGAGCTTAAATCTTATATCTTAAAATATAAAATGTCAGAATTGGAAGCAGCCTTAGGACACCTTCTAGTCTAACATATTCATATCACAGAAGAGGAAATGGATCTCAGAGAGGAGTTACTGACCCAACAGCACACTTAGTCAATGGCACAGGTAAGACTTGAACCGAGGTTCCCCATCTTCCAATCCAGTCCTCCCACCCATCCCCACTATAAGCCGCTTCATCAGGTAACAAAGACAATGGCTGAGTATTTTCTGTCTTGACTGCAGTGGAGTTTTTAGTCCCCTAACAATTAAAACCTATGTTTTCCCCATTCGGAAGATGGACAATCATTTTCTACTCTGCAGAAACATCACTATCCCCTTGTCAAGGGGGTAGGAGGACAAAAAAGAGGGGCTTTGGGGCAGAGTTCAGAAGTCATTAGATTTTCAAGTTAGAGGACCTGTGGTTTCATCTGTGCACATCCACTGAGTACCCGTGACCCATCATGGGCAAATGACCTTACCCCTTGGAGCCTCATCTGAGGAGGAGGTAGTGATGCTGAAATTGCCCACCTCACAGACTGTGAGGGTCTAGTGAAATCATATGTGTGAAACCACTCTGTACCCTGGAGGGGCTAGTAAGGTAATAGAAAAGGGATTTCAGGCCTTCATTTTGTGATCTACTCAAAGTGCCTCCTATTATTTCAGAGAACGTTCTGAAATTCTTAAAGAAATCCTCCAAACAGGAACAAATTTCAAGTGATTTTATACAAATTAATGATAGCATCATAGGTGGAAGAGACTTCAGAAGCCATTGGATCCAACCTCTCATTTTACATATGAGGAAACTGAGGTATTAAGAGACTTTCCCAGGGTCACATAGCTACTAATATGTGTTTGAGGTAGAATCTGAATCCTGATCCTCCTGACTCCAAGTCTAGTGCCCTGTTCTCTATGAAATATAGTCTCTCAGTTAAAGAATTATATTGGGGGCAGCTAGGTGGCACAGTGGATAGAGCATTGGCCCTGATTGAAGTCAGGAGGACCTGAGTTCAAATCCGGCATCAGCCCAAACACTTGTCACTTACTAGCTATGTGACCATGGGCAAGTCACTTAACCCCAATTGCCTAAAAAAGAAAAAGAGTTATATCCCTTTTAGAAATCAACAGCATCATCAGCCATAGGATCATAGATTTAGTTCTAAAAGGAGCAGTAGTGGTCATCTGGTCCAACCTTTCATTTCATAAATGATGAAACTGAAGCCCAGAGACGCTAAATGAGTTGCCCAGCTCATACAGATGAGAAATGGCAAAACTGGGATTTGAACTCAGGTCCTGGTATGCTAAATTCAATTGCCAGGTTCAGCATTCCTTCCAGTGTGCTCCACTACTCTGATTTATTCAGTCAGTCATTCAAACACGGTCTTCATGAATACTTCTTATATTCGAATCCTGTTCTAGGTCCTGGGAGAGATCAGGAGGAGAATGAGATCCTGACCTCCAGAGCTAATAATAATAACTTATATTGATCTTCTGGGCTAAAGAATGCTTTCACATCCATTATCTGAGGCAGCTATTAGGGTCAGAAAGCTCTCAGCTTCAGTTTTACCTTCTGTGAAATTTGGATCATAATAGAATCAACTTCACAGGGTCATGATGATCAAGATAACATATTATAGTACTTCATAAACCTTATAAATTTCATATATATTTGCATTTATTAATATAAATTAAAATATACCTAGTTAAACAATTAAATTATAATTAAATATTACATGTCAATTTAATATTAATTAATTTGATTAAAATTTGTTTATGCTCATTATAATTACTATTATCTCATGTGATTTTTTTTTTTTGTGAAGCAATTGGGGTTTGAGTGACTTGCCCAGAGCCACACAGCTAATAAGTGTTATGTGTCTGAGGCCAGATTTAAACTCAGGTCCTCCCGATTCCACGGCCAGTGCTCTATCCCACTGTGCCATTTAGCTGCCCCTATTTCATGTGATTTTCATAAGAACTTTGTGAGGTAGGCAGGGCAGAGATTCGTGTCCCCAGAGTTTGTGCTTTGCTGGTATAGGCATTATTCATACTATTACCAGTATTATTTATTACTAATGAAACATAGTTTGCTCTAGAAAAGAGAGACCTGACCTCAAGATCACGGTGACCCCTGGGTTCAAGTACCAGCTCTGCAAAATCCTGGCTGTGTGACTCTAGGCAAGTCGCTTAACCTCTCAGTGTCCCAGGAAACTTTCTAAGAACCATTGCAGATCTGCATTGGTAAAGTGAGTTTACTCACTAGGGATCTCTCGACACTGACAAAATCATAGACTTGGAAAAAATAACAACATTAAAACTTGTATTTATCCATCAGTCAACTTTTATTAAGTGCCTACTATGTTCCAGGCACTTTGCTAAGCCTGTTTAAGTATTCTTATGGCTTACAAGTCAATTTATATAATTCTTACTTGATTCTCCTTCTGAGATGCAGAACACAGTTATTTTTTTCCCTTATTTTCTAGATGAGAAAATGCAGACTAGAGAGGTATGGTATGATGACTTTCCCAAGTCACATAGTAAGTACATGTCCGAGCTAGAGCTCATACCGAGTCCTTCTGACTCCCAACATCGGGCTCTTTCCACTTAAGCCACAGCTGTCTCTGTAAGAACCTCTCTCTCATCTGCTATAGGTACCGGAAAGTGGTATCTAATGTCTGTGAAGGTGGTGTGGACCTGCAGCAGTATGTGTTCCAGCATCAGTGTCCCCTGACAGCCCCCAGAGGATTGCAAGTCAGCATCAAAGGAGAGACAGTTGCTGTGAAGCCAGGAGAGGACGTCACATTGGTGGTCAGACAGGAGCAGGTAAGTGAGCTGTTATGTTCAGCTTTCCTGTGGTGCTCCTGGAGGTTAGAATAATGATGTGGCTCACCTTTGAACTCTGCAATTTTCATAGCAGTCTGGCTGCCAAGAAAGATATGTAAGGACTCTCTAGCAACTGGAGGGTCCAGGTTTTCATTCAAGTGGGACCAAAGTCAAGTCACACCATTTGGCTGAAGATTCAGCTTCTCAATCCCATTCAACAAACATGTATTAACTACCTGCTGTGTGCAAAGCCTTATGGTAGTCACAGATAGACATGGCATAGATCAAAGGATCTACCATTTTAATAGACAGGTACAACATAATGAGCACAATACAAGACAGAATGTGACCACAAGTCCTCCAAGAAAACCTAATGAAAGAGAGCTCAGTTTCAAAGTTATAACAGAGAGGGAGAGAAACCTTCTGGAAGGAGATGAGAATTCTAGGAGGTGAGAATTCTGGGAACACCAGAAATAAGGGCTAATGATAGTTAACCTTTGTCCAGTACTTAATGGTTAAAAAACATTGCATCACGTGACTTTTTCATGCTCATGACACCACTATGAGGTAGGCAATAAAAGTTTTATCACCTCCATTTTACATATGGGGAAATTGAGGCATGGAAAAGTAAAGTCCCTTGTTCAATTAATGGAAGAGGTAGGATGTCAACCCATGCTTTCTGGCTGCAAAGCCAGTGTTCTTTCCACTATATCAAAGAAAGCTGCTTATAAAGGGATACAGAATGGTACAGTAGAAAGAGTACTGGATTTTGAGTCAGATGACCTGGATTCAAATCCTGGACCTGCTGCTTCTTATCTACACAACCCTAGTCAGGTCCACATAATCATTTGGGGTCTCGGTTTCCTCATCTTTAAAAATGATGAAGTTCGACTAAATGCTCTCTCATTTCCCTTCCGTCACCAGATAGCTATCCTGTGATCCTCCAGGACCTGACATCACTTTCATTGTATTAGCATAGATTTTAAGAATCTCTGCACTTCAGAATTAGGGAAGGATGCTAGTAGAGGAGTGAAGACTATATGTTTTATTATATACCTATATTTTTCTCATTTCAAAATAGGTTAACAAGCATTTATTAAGCACCTTCTATGTACCAAACACTGTGCTAAGCAATAGGAATACAAAGAAACGTAAAAAGTCCCTGCTGTTAAGGGCTCCCAGTCTTTTGAGAAAGAAAACATCCACAGTGCCACACACAAACAAGATTTTTTACAGAAGAAATTGAAGAAAATCACAGAGGGAGGGTGCTAGGATTAAGGGGAATCAACAAAGACTACTTGTAGAAGGTGGTGTTTTAGCTGAGATCTGAAGGAAGCAAGAGATGGGGAAGAACAGCATTCCAGGCATGGAACACCACCTCGGAAAATGACATTGGGGAACTGGGAGACGGAGCATCTTGTTTGAAGTATATTAAGGAGGCTAGAGTTTGGCCAGTTTTGTTTCAGATACAGCTTATATTGAGAGGGAAAGGGACCCTATATTCATAATAACATAGTAGATCTTCTCCATTGAGAAGCAAGATGTTATAGCCAGCCTTGGAGCCAGGAAGACCTGAGTTAAGTTCTACCTTGACACGGACTCACTGTATGACCATGGGTAAGTCACATGACATCTCAGAGACCTAGGCAAAAACTATAAGTGGCAGAGATGATGCTGACCTGCATTGGTGGAGAGAGTTTCCTGACATGGGAGTTCATTATGCAAACTGAAACCACAGGTCCAATCTCTATCCCTCTCCCTACTTCCTGATTACTCTGATGTTGCTGGAGGGAAATGGAAGGGTTATTCTCTCATTCTCTATTGACATGTTCAGTTCCTTTCATTCTTCATCATTCTGATTCTATTAAGGAACAGGCATAACCTGCTTTCAGGGGTATTGAGTCTATATTTTGAATGAACTGGTACTTTTATTCCTCGGCTTCCAAATACTCTGGAGTCCCACCTATCACTTTCTTTGCCGTGGGCAGCTGCCAAAAGATATCTCTGGCTTATAATGATAAAAGAGAAAGATTTCCATAATGTAATGGAAACACTTAATTTCTAGTCAGGAGACCCCACTTTCAATGCCAACTCTACAACTGGCAATCTGTGTGATCTTTGGCCAGTCATTTCACCTCAAAGGATCTCAGATTGAGAGGGACTTTAAAGGATACAGAGTCCAGCTCATCCCTGAAGATGAGTCTTCTCTACTCTGCTTCGACAAGTGGTTAACCATCCTTAACAACTCAGGTGATAAGGTTCTTCCTACCTCCTAAGGCATTAATTGACATTCCACTCCTGAAGAGTTCTCATTATTAAGTTTTCCCTTGCATTTATAACGATAATGTTTAAAATTAATTTAATTGAAACTTAATGATAGCATTTAAATAGTGTTTTAAGGTTCACAAAATGCATTGTATGTGTTGTCATTTGGTCCTCACAAAAACCCTATGTGTGTGTGGGGGAGTGCTATTATCATTCCCATTTTACAGATGAGGAAACTAAGGCCCAGAGGGTGAACACAGTTACTCAGGATCACACTAAATCTAGTGTCTGAAGCAGGATTTGAAGGCAGATCTTCCTGAAGTCTGTACACTGTGTGACCTGACCGCCCAAATGAATTCTGCTTAGCCACAGACTGTAGACCTAGAAATAATGGGTGAGAAGTATGGATAGACAGATTTCAGCTCAATATTAAGTGGTTTCCAGCAACCAACACTGTACAAAAAAGAAATTAGGGTGCCTCTGTAAATATAACAAGTACCCTATCACTGGAGACCTTCTAGTGGGTGCTAGATGAGTGCTTATCAGGTATCACATAGAGGACATTTGTTTTTTATAAAGTGGTTGCACTAGATCTCAGAGCCCTCTTCCAGTGTCAGCATTCTGTGTTTCCTTCTCTAATTTCCTTTGATCCCAAGTCTACCATGTTAGGATTCTCTGGAAGCATCTCCAACATTATCTGACACCACAGGCTATGTTCAGTTACTGCATCTTCTTTAAGACCAGTCATGTCCCTAGAATTATCAGGGAGCTCCCTAACAGCCTCCAGGTCTTAGTGTGAGAAGAAGGACTTGCCTATCCCATGCTAGATAATAAACTTTTTCCATTGATTTTTGCCTCTTGCATCAAGCGGAGAAAAGAAACGTACAAGAAACACAACAATTTGCTGCCACCTATAGACTGGAATGAATATCAGACATGCCTTGGCATTCCCACAAGAGAAAATGAAGGGAGATTTGAAGCTGAAACTCATGGGCTTCTAAGAGGGTTTGAACTTGAAGAGTGACTTTGCTCACAGTGCAGGAATGACCCTTGACCTACCCTCCCTCTGGTTCTTCTGCATGTTGGCACCACTGCCTAAAGTAAGAAAAGAAATGTGCCCTTGCATGTAGTGAAATCATCCTGAAGCTACCAAGTGCCCATGTTTCTTGTGACAGGGAGGATACAGACAAATTGCAGGAGGGAGAATCTGGATAAACAAGGAACCTAAAAAATCCACTGTTGAATAGTAGCGAGTAGATTTTGTTAGTTCTTATTATCACTGATGATAATAATAAATTATATTTATGTGGGTCTTTGAGGTTCGCAAACTATATACATACACTGAATCATTTGAATCTTGTAGAGAACCAAAGATTCCAGGAAGCATAAGGGAGAAGGGGAAACTTTTCAGGATTGGGAGAAGGTGCAGTGGTGAAAGAGAGAGAGAAAAGATGGCCCATGCAAAGTCATAGGAACAGGAGCTGGATTGTGGTGTATGAGGAAATTATGGCCACTGTCTGATCCATCCACACTTGTCTACTCACTATCTCTCTCACGACACTCCATACCCCACCTTTGTGCATTTGTACTGGCTGCCCCTCCTGTCTAGAGAGAGATGTAACACGTAGAGAGCTAAGTATGTACATTGATCATTGGAAGAGGAAGAAGAGAGTATTAACTGAGTTTGTTGGGGATAGATCAGGAAAAGTATCCAAAAAGAGTGAAGAAGGAATACATTCCAGGCAGAGGGGACAAAATATGGGGAAGCAAAATATGGGGTAATGGGGAAGTCATAGAAATTGATGGAGTGAGGATGGTGTTGGTCAGATTTATAATTTCAGAAAATCACCTTGACAGCAGAGTGGAATATGAATTAGTGGAGAGAGAAAGGGAGGGAAGAAGGAAGGAAGGAAGGAACGAAGGAAGGAAGGAAGGAAGGAAGGAAGGAAGGAAGGAAGGAAGGAAGACAATATGTATTAATTAAACACCTGTGCTAAGCACTTTACAAATTTTACCTCATTTGATCATCACAACAACCCTAGAAAGTAGGTACTACCATTATCCTCATTTTTCAGTTGAGGAAACTGAGGAGGCAGACAAGTGACTTGCCCAGGGTCTTACAGCAACTATGTGCCTGAAACCAAATCTGAATTCAGGGCTTCCTGACTCCAGGTCCAGTACTCTAACCACTGCGCCATCTAGTTGCCTTTAATGCTATCGATGATAAGGATTTGAGCTACAATGGTGGCAGCAAGAGTAGATGGAGAAGTGGATGGGGGAGAGAAAGCCTTGGGAAGTAGAAATGACAAGGTATGACAATTGTTGGTATATGGAGTAAAAGAGTGAGGTTTGGTACCAAAATGGTGAACCAATGTGACAGAAGAATGGGCAGTGGTTCAAGAGAATAGATGGTTTCAGTAGAAAGAGGTTAAGTTCTGAAGAAGGAAGAATTGGGGGGGGGGAACCATTATTCTACGTTAGCTCTCTATCTCCACCACCATGCTGCCTTGACAATACATCTAATACAATTGTCTAACCACAATTGAATGAATGTTGCCCTTTAATTAGTTATCTGTTACTTGGCGATTATATTAAAGCAAGAGAATGGAGAAATAGTACAAAATTGGAACTAGGGGTCAAGAGAATTGGCTTCTAGTCCCACCTCCCGGACTAACCAGTTATCTTACTTTGGCCAGGCTGCTTTCCCATTCTGGACCTCATTTCCTTGTCTGTAGAACAAAGGAATTGAACAATGTAATCTCTAAGGACCCTTGTGGTTCTAATGTTCTTTGTTCTAATCTAATATCCTTTCCAGCTCAGACAGTTTCCTGTGTTGTAAAGTCCTTCCCAACTCTTCATATCTGTTCTAAGGGCCCTTCCAGCTCTAACATTCTACGAATGAAAACAAGAATAAAGTAGCAACATGGACATTCAAGGGCTATTTTAATGTTATATTATTACCATTTGGTCTAGCTGTGTAGGCACACTGGGAAAAATAAGTATTCCTCCACCCTGAAAAGTTGTATAAGTTACTGATTCCTTCACTCAATTTCCCCCATCTGTATATGGATAATATGGTTATTTAAAGTATAATGTTCACGGCAGGGAAGTATATGAGGCAGTAAACATCTTTTGTGGGTGATTAAATGCCGAAGCCGAGATGAGCTTTTGATAAGTGTGGAAGCTCTTTATTGCAATCTACCTCTATGTGCTGGGTATTGTTGCTACTATTGTGTACGACGAGATAAAAGGAAGCTCAACAAACCGTGGCAGTATAAAGGAAAAAGAATAATGTTTTTCTTTCTTTATGGTAGAGGGTTTAGAAGGCTCTGTGATGTTTTCTCAATGTATTATTGCAAAAATCCTCTAGTAGATATGCCACGAACTAAGTGCCAGAATGACGTGGTAAAGAGAGCACTGGTTTTATTGTCTGTGTGACCAAGGGCAGGTCACTTCCTCTCACTGATCTTCAGTTTCCTTACTTATGTTGATGTTGTTCAATCATGTCCAACTCTTAGGACACCATTTGGGGTATTCTTGGCAAAGATTCTAGAGTGTGATGTCATTTCCTTCTCCAGCTCATTTTACAGATGAGGAAACTGAGGCATACAGGGATAAGTGACTTGCCCAGGGTCACACAGCTAGGAAGCATCTGAGGCCAGATTTGAACTCACAAAAATAGGCCCCATACTCTATCCACTGTGCTACATAGCTGCCTCTCCTTATCTATAAAATGGTGATAATATTAGTGCTAGCTAACCCACAGGGTTGTTGTGGGAATCAAAGATCATGTATATATAAATCACCTTGTAATAATAAAGTCACAGAAATATGAGCTAGTATGATTCTTATCCATGCATTTGAGTTCTTATTCTGAGGCATTAAAGAATCTGATTGAGACTGAAAGAAACCAGAGGGTGCATCTAAAAGGAAAGAGCCTTTATTAGGGATCCAAATAGGTTTGGAGACAGCCCAAATCCTAGTTGGGGGAAATAATACAATTCAATCCAATCCAGCAAATATTCCCTGAGTGCCTAGTGTGTGGAAGGCCTATGCTCAGTTTCTGGGTCTTTGTCCTTAAGAAACTCACAATTTAAAGGACATTGTGCATAGGAGTTAAATAAGATACAGCTTAACAAAACAGTGCAGAGTCCATAAAAGCACCAACGAAAGGCTTTGATACTCAATAGGGGAGAAGGATGAATCAGGCACTATTTCATGCAAGAGGAGGCATTTCAGATGGACATTAGTGGATGGGTCAGATGGCCATAGGAGGAGTTGGAGGGAGAAGAAGAGAATGGTTTGACAAAAGGTGTGAGCCAGGAAAACCAGGACAAATGAGTGGAATTCTACTAGGCTATATTTCCTCAAATTCTAAATTGTTTCTGATTTTTCTTTCCTAGGGGGATGTCCTAAATACGAAGTACCTGGTAGACCTTGGTGATGGTTTTAAGGCTGTCTATGTCAATCTCACTGTGACAGGGGAACCTATCCGGCACCGCTATGAGAGTCCAGGCATTTACCGTGTCTTTGTCAAAGCAGAGAACGCTGCTGGGCATGAGGAAGCTGTGTTGTTCGTTCAAGTAAATTGTAAGTTGGCTTTTTCATCTTTAAGGTTGTTTTTCTATTGTTGCTGTTCAGTCATCTTGGTCTTGGCCAATTCTTCATGACTCCCATATGGAGTTTCCTTGGCAAAGATACTGGAGTGGTTTGCCACTTCCTTCTGCTCATTTTATAGATAAGGAAACTGAGGCAAACAGGGTTGTGACTTGCCTAGGGTCACACAGCTAGTAAATGTCTGAGGCCAGATAAGAACTCAGTTCTTCCTGACTCTAGGCCCCATGTTCTAGCCACTGAGTCACCCAGATGCTCCAGATTTCCTGATGCTTTCATTCAAATCCTGCCTCAGACACTTACTAGCAGTATTACTTCAGGCAGGTCCCTTAACCTCTCCCAGCTTCAGTTTTATCATTTGTAAAATGTGGATAATAGTAGCACTGACCACATTGAGGTATTATGAAGATCAAATGAGTAATACATAAAGCTCTTTGTGAACCTTCTATCACAATACAAATACTAATTGTTTTTGTTGGTGATGATGATGATGATGATGATGACAGTGAAAATGATGATGATGCCAACTATAGGATAAGCTCAGTGCTTTGAGGAAACATGCACCCCTTCTCCTTGGTACCATGCTTTTTCTACCATGAAAGCAAATATCCCTCAGCATATTTACCATGTTGCTCTGAATATAGGCATGCTTTGTGCTCAAGTCTGACTTGCAGAAAATCTGAGCATGGCATTTAATTAGTGTTATGTGCATGATTATATAAATAGACACAAAATATATGTTGCAGTGTTATTTGTGTATTATATGTGGGTGTACCAGTGTATGTAGCAGGGACATGTTCATTTTGGAAATACATCCCCCACAAATCTTAGAAGAGAGCAACAGGTGCTGACTGTACCCTAGCATGTGCTCTGGTTAGATGGGAGCATCTTCAGCATACCTGACAGGAGCATGGGCAGGAACATTGGCAAGGGTCACAAGATACGCAGTAACTTCCTGATTCCATTCAAGTTTTCTCCTCTGTCTCTTTTGACACATTACTCAAATCTCCCCTGTCCTATCTCTGTTGCAAGTCCTCACCCCCAGCCTTTCACTAGCTATACTGCTTCCATTCAACCAGATTCTGCGTTGATCCATCATCTACTATACTCCACAAAAATTGGTGAGGGGCAGAGTGCCCAAGGAGGACATATTGCTCATCTATCTATCTTTTCAGAAAGATGCCATTAAAACAATGAAATAGATTTGAGGTGGCCCATATTTGGATCAGCATGGTAGTTTGAAAGCTTACCTCCTGCAAAAGTCTGCCATGTATTGAAATCTTAAGGAGGTAATGTGGTATAGTGGAAAGAGCACTATATTTTCAGTCAGAAGGTCTGAGTTCAAATCCAGATTCTGCCTGAGTGACAAGCTATTTCAACTACCTGGGGTTCAATTTCTTCAATTCTAAAATATAGGGATTGGGTTAAATGAACTCATAGATTGCTTCCAAATCTATTATCCTACAAAGTTGTGTGAGCTGACATTGCTGATAAGAGTATAGTAGATGTCATGAACTAAAAAGGAAATGAGAACATTCTTTGACCATAGGTTTGAGATTCTTGATTTCTTTTTAGATCTTTAGCTGTTCCAAGGAAATTGTGCATTGGTTGATTGTAAATCTTGTAGGTTACATTCAGGCCTTGTAGATTATTGGCCAGATGATTTCCTATGGAAACATGTGTTTTCATTGATCAGAGGCCAGCTGTGTTTAGCATAGGTTTTAGCATAGGAGGATCCCCATTGGAACTGCCAGCAGAACTTCCTTGTTTCACCAGCAAGACAGAAAGCCTACTGTCCTTACCACTTAATCTGTAAGGCCAAATCCCCAGGCATCCTTCTGGCCCAAGAATGCTGCAATTCTAGCCAAATTTTCAAATACATTTGGATACTGAACCCTGAATTCTGATAACTTCATTAGCTTGGTGCACTTTGTAGGAAGAGACAGCATCAGTGCAGCAAATCGCTCCACTGTTGTTGTCTGGCAAGTTTACAGAAATAGAATAAAACACATTAATGGAAGTGATAGATAAATGTTCTGACTGAGTAAAGCAAGCTCATTTCAATTCAATACATATTTACTAAGTTCTTCCTATGTGCTGGCCCTGCACTCAGAACTGGAAAAGAAATAATATGAAAATGCCACAGCCCATGACTACAAAGACCTTAAAGTCTAACACTGAGGATGCAAAAGTGAAAAAGAGAAGTATAATTCAAGTCAGTAGATGATCAGGACAAAGGAGAGCTCCAGACAAATTGCTCTGAGCAAATGTGAGGTTGGAGGCATAATATTTAGTGGACGGGGGAGAATCAAGGAAGCCTTCAGAAGATCACACCTAAACTGAGACTCAAAGGAATGAATTCTAGGCATGGGGGATGGTCTATGCATATTTCAAAGTTAGAGAAGCTGGGACAAGTCAGGGAACAGCTAATGGTTCCTTTAGCTTAAAGGAACTAGTTAGGTGTGGAGAAGAGTTGTTAAAAAAAAAAAAAAGGTTGGAAAAGTATATTGGGGCCAAATTGTGGAGTGTCTTTATTAGGAGGCAAAGGAGTTTTGCTTCATTTCGTTTTCTTGTCTGTCAACAGCAGGAATCCACTGAAAGGTTTTCATTTGAAAGTGAGAAGCCCATATTTGATCTGTTTTCTTGGCTATACTCAACACTATGCTCTTAATGGAAATCACATCTATGCCAAAAAATGTTAATCCAGTGGTCTGTAAGTGAGTAGAGAAGTGTACATCTAGATTATACATTATTCAGGGTGAGAAATAACAGCTCTGGAAGTTGCCATTCATTGTGCAAGGAACTGAGAACTAGTACAAAGCATGACCAGAGGTCATTACATAATTAACAAGGTCACGGAGCTGGTAAGTTGATTGGAGCAAGAATGTTTGCTTTATTTGCCACAACAGTGTGACACATACATGTACATATGTGCATGTACCTACATGTGTATGTGTGCATACATGTGTAGTGAATATGTGCATAATATATTAATGTGTGTGCATGTGTGTATTCACTGTGTATGTGCATATGTGTGTGCATATAATAGTAATATATAATTATTCATATATAATACCTATCTTATATGTATTTACATGTAATATATATCCAAAATGAGTATTATATACATGTGTAAAATCAAGAGAATCTACACAGAATTATATACTATGGCGAATTGACGTGGAAAATAGCACCAAAACCCATCAGTCAGAAAAACATTAAACTCCTCTGGAAGCTTTGGAGACAGCTACTCTTTTCCCTCTTATAAACATGTCAGAGCACAGCAACTCAGTAAAAACAAAAGAAATAAGTGGTACCATGGACAGTGCTTGAGGAAACCCTTTCCCAGAGAAAGGGAACCAGATGCAAAGAGGCTTTAATACTATGAACAACTCACAAATACAAAGCACTTTCTAGTTTAGAAAGCATTTTCCTTACAATATATCTGTGAGGTAAATAGTGTTATTCTTTCCATTTTGTAGAGAAGAAGATTGAGGCCCCCAGGGAGGCAAAGGGAGGCAGGAAGCAACCTTTTCAAGGTCAAACAACTAATTATCCAACATTTGTTGAAGTCAAAACTCAAAACCCCCTCTTTTCAGATCAAGCCTGGCATTCTTTTCACTTTATTATGCCTTTACGAAGCCAGTTAAGAGCTATCATTTTTAAGAGAAGGAATGTCTTTCTTCATCTCACCATGGCAGGATGGTCTAGTGAAAAGAATGCTGGGCTTAGACTTAGGAAGTTATTGTTCAGTCATTTCAGTTGTGTCCAACACTTTTTGACCCCATTTGGGGATTTTCTTGGCAAAGATACTGGATTAGTTTGCCATTTCCTTCTCCAGCTCCTTTTGAAGATGAAGAAACTGAGGCAAACAGGGTTAAATGACTTGCTCAGGGTCACACACTAGTAAGTATCTAAATCCAGATTTGAACTCAGGTCTTCCTGACTCCAAGCCCAGTGCTCTATCCACTGACTTGTATTCAAAGCCTGTCTTTGGTATTCATTAGTTAATTAATGAATCTCTGTATAAGTCACAAACTCTGTGTCACTCAAGCATCTTCCAAAGACTTATTCACTAAGTCATAGAAGAGTTACAATATGCATTAGTAGAAGTCTCAACACCAAGAGTTCCCCAAGCTGACAGAACCCTAGATTCTTTCTGTATCCATTTATCTCAATCCTTAGCTGCTACCCTTCAACTATAATAGGGCTCATTTTCTTACTAGAGGATAAAATTCATTTTATTACATTTAAAAACACTCTTAGTTATATCTGAGCCTCTATTTCCTCTTATATAAAATTAGGATAATAACTCTCACCCTACTTACCCCACAGGACTATTGTGAGGAAAAAAAAAATAAGGTGTTGTATACAAAGCACTTTGCAATCATAAAGCAGTACATAAACACGAACTATTGTTATTCTTCTGTAAAGCAACTTTAATTTATTAAATCAATTAAAGTTAAATTACTGAAAGTCTATCCTGCATATTGTTTTCCCTACAAAATATTTATGAGGTATCAGAGAACGCATTGCAGAGCCATGTAGGATGTATGCCAATGGTAACAATAATCACCACTGGCACTTGCATATCAGATGCAGGTTTGCACAATATGTTGTGTGCAGGCTCTCATTTGTTCCTCATATTTCAGTGAGGTAACCACCATGCATATTATCTTCACCCTGTTATAGACGAAGCAATTAAGTCTCAGAAAGGCTAAGCAGTGTGCCCAAGGGCACACAGCTAGTAAATACCAGAGGGCAGACTTCTTCAGTGCTTTCTCCACTACACCATACCTATACTGCCCAATTAAGACCCATCTGTGAAAGACTACAAAAGTGATGAGTTCCAAAAAAGGGGACCTGATAATAACAACAACTAGAGTTTTCTATAGAAATAAAAGGGACCTACTTTGGTAGACTTAATATCGTGGAATCCAACTGATGTTTAAACTTCTACGAATAAAAGGGGGAAGTTACAAAGAAGTAGATCTCAGTTCAACGTGTACATGAAATGGGTTGCCTCAGGAGGTAGTGAGCTCCCTGACACTAAAGGTTTTTAAGGTGGATGTCCACTTGTTGGAGATGTTGTGTAGGGGGAAGCTCCTGTTTCATGTTGGGGATGGACATTGATTTCTGAAGCCATTTCCTACTCCAAGATTCTAGGATCCTCCATCCATCATGGGAAAGGAATGACCTTGTTTAAAGAGCAGATTTTAAAAGTAATCATGTGATTTAGAGTAAGAGGAGGTCTTGGTGGAGTCCCTTCACTTAACATAGGAGGACTCAGGGTGGTTTGCCCATGGTCACACAGGCATGAGATAGCAGAGAGCCAGAATTAACGCCAATCGTTTTCCCACTAAAACACACTGCCTCATAGCAGTAACATTGCTACATGGCTCAGACTCCATGTGGCCCTAGTTGAACACAAAAATCATTTTTTCCTTTTTTTAAAGAAAATTCTGTGATCTTTGTTTAACTGGAGAAATGACACCTCCTAGAGGTACCTATAGCCTTTCCATTGGTGCATTCTGGGAAAAGACCTGATGCAAGCTAGTCCCTTTGCTGAGAGAACATGGTATAGAGCAGGAGGAAGGACAATAGGGCTCCATAAATTGACTCTTTGACTAATGACATTTTTTTTTATAACTCTCCCCAGCTCCTCTACGGGCCTTACACCTCGAAGTGGTTCCTGTCATTGGAGTGAACCAGGAAGTCAACCTCACTGCCATTCTGCTACCCCAGAACCCCAATCTAACAGTCTTCTACTGGTGGATAGGAAACAACTTGCAGGTATACCTTGAGCTTCTTTTGGTCAGTTTACAAACACCCCTGCTCTGGGTGCTATGAAGATAGTTACAGAGACATCAGAGACAAAGATACCTGATCTTAAAGGTCATATAGGTGCATGAGAAAATGAGCTATTTATAGGTGAAAATATCAGCCACAATTCATAATGATCCATGATGCAATCAAATAAGGGTTAGAGATAGTAAATGATGTAGATCAGAAGGGGAAGGAAAAGAGAAGAGAATAAGTGTGTGTGTGTGTGTGTGTGTGTGTGTGTGTGTGTATTATGTATGTATGTATGTATGTATGTATGTATGTATGTATGTATGTATGTACTAGGCTCTATGAAGCACTTTTTACAAATATTATCTTATTTGGTGCTCACAACAGCCCTGTGAGGTAGATACCATTAATATAGTACAAGCAGAGGTTAAGTGACTTGTCCAAGATTGTATGGCTACTAAGTATGTGAGGCAAGGTCTGAACTCCGGTTTTCCTCACTCAAGGCACAGTGTTCTATCCATTATGCCACCAAGCTGAGCAGAAGAATGGGAAATGCCTGTGGTCTAGAATGGTCAAGGGAGGCTTCCTGGAGGAGGTGGGGTTTCAAGGTGGCCTGTGAAATGAGTAAGAACCAGAAAGGCAGAGAACAAAATAGAGGACATTCCTGGCAGAGAGGGAGGAAAGTATGAAGTCTGCTGGGGATGGAGGTGGGGGTGTGGAGTCAGGGTGGGGAGTCAGTGAGGAGAGAATTCATATAATTGTAAAGGAATAGTGAGTAATAAGGCTCAAAAAGAAGGGTAAGGCCTGATCACGGAGGGCCTTGAATGCCAAGTTAAGGAGTTCAGCTTTTTGGCTGTGGGCAGGTGCCAATGAAGGTTTTTTTTAATAACAGTGTGATGAAGTCAGACCTGTGCTTAAAGAAGATTAATTTGATAACTCTGTAAAATATTGATAACAGAGGTGAGAGACTAGAGGCAGGGTGTCCAAGTGGGATGAGGCATCCTTTGAGATTATTAATCAATATTTCCTTCTTGGTTTGAAGGGAAGAGTATAATACCTTCTTAAATCCAATGAACTCCACCATCCATCGAGTCATTATCATCATCATCATCACAATCACCACTGACATTTACATGAAATTTTAAAGTCTTCAGTGTGCTTTGCATAAATTACTTCAATTAATCCTCCCAACAAATCTGTGAGATAGCTATTGCTATTCCATAACATGGATATAGAAACAGAGCATCAGAAATGCTAAGTTATCATCCATGGTCACAGAGCTAATTAGTCCCAGAACCCGCATTTGTAATCATGTCTCCGGACTCCAAATCCAGAGCACTCTCCAAACAGCACTTTTCAGATGGTTAGACCATGCAATCACATCTTGTTAGAGCTGAAAGGGGACTAAAAGATCACTTATTTCTTATCTCTTATTTTCAGCTGAGGAAACTGAGGCATACTTATTCTTTGAGCAAGTGACTTATCTGTGGTTACGCAAGATAGAAATAGTAGAGTCAAAATCATGATAGATCTAGAAAGGGAAGGGACCTTAGAGGCGTCGAATCCAACCCACATATTTTAGAGTTGAGAAAACTGAGATCCAGGGAGGCTATGTCATTTTACCCAAGGTCACATAGTCTTCTGACTTGAAATTCAATGCTTTTAGTTGCAAGGCATCTCTTAGGTCATCTAATCCAACTTAGCATGTGAATTGTGATCCTTCATGAAGGACCCAGAAGTGAGGTAGGTAGAATGTCACAATGCCAATAGGCTTGAATGTTCTGGGTGTTACCAAGGAATAGCATCTTCCTATTGAAGAGTCATACACAGGGCAGCAGACAGATTATAAAATCATTGCCTCTTGGTCTTAGGAGGGTCTCAGCTGCTGGGATCTGCTATGTAGGGAGCTGTTGTTCAGGTTAGAACAACATCATACTATGGACCTACCAAGAAATACTTCATCCTCTATTACAAATTTCAGGGACACCTAACTTATCACACATGTGGAAGGGGAAAAAGAAGAGGAAAAAATAATAACACTTATTCATGTTCATTTCTCAGATTTGCTAATCAGGTGACAGAGCTCAAAGGGACCTTGGAAATAAGTATAGAATGTCACAATTGGAATGGGACCTTAGAAACAAACATGGAAAGAGAGAGCTAAAAGAACCCTTAGAATACAAACTATGACATGCTACAACTGAAATGGAACTTTGAACAGAGACTGACAGAAATAGAAGGAACTTTACAGCATAGAAAGTGAATAGTTAGAAGAACTTCAGATACCATCTCATCCATGTTCTCTAATCAACAAGCATTTATCAAACACCTACTGTGTACCAGGCACTGTGCTAAGTGCTGGCTCACTAGGATCTGGCACAGTTCTATCCTTCTGGAGTCTAGGTCCTAAGATCCCATCCAGCTGTAATGGTCTGTGTTCCATGTTCTAAGGTTCCTCCTGGCTCTGATGGTCTTGTGATTTTTATGATTCAGCCCTGAATAACAATGGTCCTTCTTTTCTTTTTCAGCCCCTTCTTTCTCTGGATAACATTCTTGTCACGCGATTTTCAGAAACAGGTGAAGTCCGAGTGACTGTTCAAGCCTCCTGTGGGAATTCCATGCTCCAGGACTCCAAAGTTATCAGGGTTTTAGGTGAGTTGGTTTCCATTTTTCCTGCCTTTTATGTGTCCCACAACCCCAACCCCTTTCTAAACCTGCAAACATTATTATGATCCTTAGAGGCAGCTGGTGGTGCAGAGAATAGAATGCTAGAAAGTCAAAAAGACCTGAGTTCAAATCCAACCTCCAATATCTACTAGCTGTGTGACCTTGAGCAAGTCACTTAAGCTCTGCTTGCCTCACTTTCTCATCTGTAAAGGATGATAATAATAGCTTCTACTTCCCAAGGTTGTTGTGAGAATTGAGTTCATAATTGTAAAGTACTTAGCACAGCACTGGCACATAGTAAGCACTATACAAATATTAGTTAATTATTATCATTAGTTATGCATAAACACATAAGTGTAAGATGTCACACATGGCAAAGGAAGAGTGTAATCAAGAGACCTGAGTTCAAATTCTTCCTCTAACACTTTTTAGCTGTTGTGACCATGGGCAAATCACTGCTTCTCAAAGCCTCAAATTCTTCATCTTTAAAATTAACCAGTGAACACTTATTAATCACAACTTTGATTCCATTGTTTTCCTCCCAACAACCCTGTGAGATGAATAGAGCACATCTCATCCTCTTTGTTTTACAGAGAAAGAAACTGACACTCTGAAATATTAAATGGCCAAAGAGTGCAGAGCTGGTCAATGACACAATTGCTCCCAGAACCCAGGTCTGCTGATTTTAAACACAGTATAATTTCCACAAAAGCATTCTCCTCATCTATTTTCAACCTAAAGTTTATTCCAAGTGTCAAAATTAGTGGATCATAGCACCAAAAAATTGGGGTTCACTTCTAATACTTCCTCTAGGGCCACTCTGAGTCTCTCCAGCAATGATGATAGACTTCCCAGGTTGCTGTAAGAAAAGTGCTGTGTGAATGTGGAAGTGACTGTCATTATCATTAATCGTAACTTTTGGGGTCTTAGTCTCCTCATTTGAAAGTATATCATCATCATCATCATTATCATTATTTATGTTGGACATTTGTAGTATATATTTCTTCAATTTGCTTAATGTGTCAGTGATTATGAATAGCAGTAAATGGATGGATTGAGATGATTAGCAAGGTATCTGAGGACATGTATTAAATCCTCCCCCTGGCACTTCTTATCTATGTAACCTTGGACAAGTATGTCAACTCAACGGGTCAAACTCAGCAATCTTTCAACTCTAAATCTATGCTCTTAGTAGTCTGTGATCCTTAGATTCTCTCCTGGTATATAACCACACAATAATAATCACATTGGAACACTTGGGAATATTGCTTCATTTGGAGACAGATCATCTAACCTCATCAGAAAGCCCTTCCCATCCTCCCGGTAAATACTTGGTTTTTTTTCCAAGTTACTCAAACTTTCTAGATCAGTTTCCTCATCTGTAAAATGGAACTAATAACATCTGCCCCACTTGCCTCAGATAATTTTTCATGAAGATTATATGAGAGAATGCACGTGAAAGTGCTTTGGAGAGGTTAGGAAACATGGACCCAGTGGGAAGGGCATTGTACCTGTAATCAATCGACCTATATTCAAGTCCCAAATCCTGATACTTACTGTCCTTGGGCAAGAGTCTTTCCCCTCCTGGGACCCCTGTTTCTTATCTGAAATTATGATTTTATACTAGATCAGCAGTGTCAAACTCAAATAAAAATAGGAACCACTAAACCTCCCTAAAAGTCATATATTGACTTAGAAAACCACATATTGACATTATCTATGTTCTATTGTCTCTTTATTTATTTTGTTAAAAATGTCCCAATTTCATCTTAATCTGATTCAGTCTTCTGAGGGAGGTACCTGGGCCATTTTTTGACACCTATGTACTATATAAATTCTAAGGTCCCTTCCTGGTCTGACCTTTTTGTTCTAATATATTAGGAAATTGAAAGAATTGGACTAAGTCACCTGTGAGGCATTTTCTAGCTCTGGATACTGTAAGCTCCTTTCAGTTCTAAATTTTGTGTTCTTAGGTTCCTTCTAACTCTGTCTGTGTTCTAATGTTCCTTCCAATTCTAACATTTCTCGTTCTAAGGTTTTTTCCATTTAACATTCTGTGTACTAATACAGTAACCCTTACACTTTGGACATTATATGTTATGAGATCTCTTCCAGCACTGACATTCTAACTTGCTTTAAGTCTAAAGGGGCAAGTAGATTAACGCATTTTCCACTGTGACCTTAAAAATTTCCAACATTTTGCTCTTCCTTTTGCAAGTTAGCCAAAAGAGAATTCTGTCTAATTTAAACTTAAGATCAGTCAATTATACCTTCACTTTTTTTTGCCCGGGTGGGAGCCGGGGGGGGGGCGGGATGCGAGGGGGGGGTTCCTCAGCTCTAGGGCATCCAAGATTTCGAAGTCCTTTACCTTTCTCTCTGTCAGTGGTAAATGGCCCTTTCACCATTGACTGTTTGCTTGGCATCGTAAGACATTTTGCTGTGTTTTGTCAATTGCTAAAGGGGCAAGATGCCTGAAAATGCCAATGACAGCTGAATTATTCACAATGGGGGAATGTGCTGTCAAATCAGGGATTAGCCTGATCTGAAAAATAAAAAGAGACATTGCTAATCCTCAGGTATGGAGAGTGAGGGATAGAGTGGAGGAGAATACAACCTTTATGTATTACGGGCCTCATTGTCAGTCAAGTTGCTCATGCTAATAGCCTCAGAAACACCTCACTGCCTTGTGCATATTTCAGGATAATAGGTCAGAGTTAGTGAAATAGACTAAATGAACTCTTAGGCTAGTTTTCCCATTGATATGGTTAGTGGGTTTCATAAGAGCAACTGAATCCATTGAAAATATGAATTATTCTTTAAAAGTTAGAGAAAACACCATCATATTTTCAGGTTTAGTCAAGCCAGAAGTGGTTTGTTTTTTGCCATCTCTATCTTATTTTACTCAGTGGGAATCTAGAGTAATAGGACCCATTGTTATGTGGTTTGGGATATATAACAGGTGAACTTCTCTCTCTGGCAACACAGCTCCCAGGAGTCAACACCTTATCTATTGCTGTTAACCTGCAGGGCTAATCCCTCTCAACTTCATTTCCCCTTGCTAACTCTTCCTTTTCCTTCCCTCCCCATGTTTTCTCTCCCCAGCATCATCTCTCCTCTCCTCTGCCCCTTCTCTTTTTATTTCTTCACTATCCTTTTCAGTTTACTGTCCTCAGCCATCCCTTCCCACACTGCCTCCCAATACCAGCTTATAAAATCCTGCATTTTACAATCCTCCCATTCTGGTTGTGTGCCAAAAAAACTAACGAAAGACTAAGCCTTCCACAAAAGGTGAGACAACGTGCCTGGAGCTTACCTGCTTAACAGGACACAATGGATTCATTGAAGCAGAGTCTCAGCTCCTGCAGTTTGCCCTCAGTTATTCAGTTGCTCTTCCAGGTAGCTTATGGGAAATGGAAACAAACATCAGACCCCGCCTCCTGGGAAGGTAACTTGGATTAGCTGAAAATGACTTGTAGGAATATTTTGTGTTCTTTCCTATTATGCCAAGGATTCACTCCCCACATTTAGACTCAAAATCTATGCCTGCCTGAGATGCAGAGGAAATTCCCATCTATTCCCCATCTAAATTAGAGCTGTTCAAAAGGAAAATGTGTTTTCTTTGTTGGCAGATAGTTTTTCATCCTCACTAGAGGTCTTCAGTAAGAGGCTAGATGACCACTTGTTATAGATGTTATAGAGAGGATTTTTTTAAAAAATTTAAAATTTGACTGATACCTTTTCCTTAATTCATATGTCTCCCCATGCTTCTCTGTTGTCATCATATCTGTAGTGGATAGGTATCAGACTTGGAGTCACAAAGACATGGGTTCAAATCTTACTTAACACCTAATAGCTCTGTGAATCATATTAACTTCTTAGTGCCTCAGTTTGCTCATATGTAAGAAGAGTGGGGTGGACTTGATGACCTCTAAGGTCACTTTCAGCTCTAATTCTATGATCATTTATTATAGTCCAGTAATATTCCATGACCATCATCATATTCCACAACTTGTTTAACCTTCTCCTAACCAATGGAGGTCTGCTTTGTGTCCAGTTTTCTTGCATCTACCAAGAAAAGCTGCTTTAAATGTCTTGATGCACATGGCGGCCTTTCTATTTTTATTACTGGTTTCCTATATCTAGCACCAGAATCTCTATATCAAGGAGTATAGACATTTTAGTCACTTTCTTGTCATAGTTCCAAAGAGCTTTCTAGAATGGTTGGACCAATTTGCAATGCTAATTATATTATATACTTCTAATATATTATACTACTAATGGTATTCTACATTAGGATGTTTGTCTTTCTACAACCTAGTAGAAGAATTTCCTTTTCCAGTATGTTGAACTGTGTGAGTTCTAAGGTCCCCAAAATTCTTTAATTTTGACTCATTCCCATGAGGAATCCCATTCAAGGACCATATGCCTAGTGGCAAGGCCCAGGCCCAGACTAGCTAACTTTACAGAGGTCTGTTACCAGTCTTACTCCAACAGGATCGGTTTTTTGCCACAGCAAAACCCTATTATTTTACAGATGAGGGATCCATGACTATGGTGATTAGTGATTTATACAAAGTTACACAGGTAGGAAGCATGAGAGGTAGGATTTGAACCCAGGTTCTTTAACTCCATCCTCTGTTACAAGTAAGGTTTTTAGTGATTAGGATTAGGGCATGGGACTATGGAAGTGGATAAAGTCCTGTCATCCATGCCCTGAAGGAGTTTATAAATTGACTAGGGAGATGATCTAACCAACTATGAATAACAAGAAGAGCAAAAACTCTTATAACTGCGATTTGTACAGTGTCCCAAAAGTCTTAGTACAGTTTGAAGGTATTAAAAATTGAAACTCTAATTTAAAGATTCAAACTGCACTAAGATTTTGAGGACAGCCTGTTTTAGTTTTATGAAAATGTTTCCTCCCCCAACCCTATGACATAGTGTGTGTATGATTTAGCTTCATTTTACAGATGAGAAAACCAAGGCTCAAAAAGGAGAAAAGAGACTGTACATAATGAAGAGTGTAGCAAAAAGAACACTGGACATAAAGCCAGCTGACTTGAGTTGGAGTCCAGGCTCTGCCACTTCATGGTCATCATCATCTTGTACGGGATATTTTACCTTTTTGGGTTTTGTCATGTGTCCTAGGACCCAATGAGATAATGAATGTAAAAGCAGACCAATGGCGTAGAAAGAATTGAGAACTGAGGGTCAAGAGGCTAGGGTTTAAATACAGATTTACTACTTATTAGCTATATGACCATGGGCAAATCAATGGATCTCTCTGAGCCTCAGTTTCCTCATTTGAAAAGTGGAGATAACAGCATTTGCCTCCCCTAACTCAGAGGCTGTTGTAGGGCAAGGGCTTTGTAGGTGGGGGATTTTGTTATTAGAATATAAATACAAGCTCCATAATGTTGGATTTTATAGCACAGACTGTAAGCACTTCAGAGGTTCCCAGAAATCATTTTTTTAATTGTCCAAATCATTTTGTCTACATTTCTCTCTCCAGATCAATTTCAAGTTCTACCCCTGAAGTTTACCAAGCACTTGGATATGTACAATCCCAACATCCCTGAATGGAGAGAAGACATTGGCCTGGTAGTCACCCGCCTCCTTTCTGAGGTAAGCCCCCTAAAAGTGTCATAACTTCTCCCAGGGAGAAGACAAGAAAGGTCATGGGCAGGATGCTGTCCTTTGAAGGAAAACAGGCCAAACTGAATGACTGACTGAATGGTACCCCAGGGCCAGTCAGAGAGGCAGGCAGATGGAGATAGGTGTCACTGGGGTACCAGCTTGCTGGTCACAGCGAAACAGCACTGAATGTTCAGCTCCAACACTGACTAATTGGCAGTTAAGAGCAAATGCAGCTGTGAGAGAATTTCGAGCCAGATGGAGGGAAATGATGCCGATGTGGGAAAAGCCATAGCTTGTATGTGTTATAGCTATGGGGTGGGGATGAGGGATATGTGTGTATGTGTGAAGAGATGGTTGGGGGAATGATGTAGAATTATCTCTGACTGTAAAGCTACTGCACAATCTCTAGAAAATCAAAATTAATATCTATCCTGTGTGCTGATTTTTCCCTTTTTATGGAAGTTGTATTTAGTGGTAACAATTACAATTCAGCTATTAAAATGGCATTAATAAAATGCCAAGGTTTCTACTGTCACATTACCATTAGACAATGATAGCCATAATAATTATGGGAATTAATGCTGTAAGGGTCATCTTCTCTAACCCTTTTACTTTGTATCTGAGAAAACTAGTGGAAATGAGTTGCCCAAGGTCATACAGATATTAAAAGGGAGAGCCTGGACTTGACACCAAGTCTTCTGAAGACTCAGAATTTATTGTTTTTGCCACTAACAATCTATTCATCAATGAGCATCAAAGATCTACTTTGTGATAGATACTATGTTGAGCACTGGGGATAAAAGCCAAAAATGAAGCAGTCCCTGACCTCAAAGAACTTGTAGTCTATCAGGAAAGGCATGCAGAAAGACAGTATAGTATAATGGAAGGAGAGTAGGACATGGCACTAGGAGATCTGGAATCCAGTTATGCCACTTAATCTATGAGATCCCAAGTTGCTTCATCTGTGCTATGGAGAGAACCAACTGTCAACCTCCCAGTTATGGTGGATGTCACAAAAGAAAATGGATATAACGTGGTTTGTAACTATAATAGGGTTTTAGGAGGGTCAACCAGATTTACTGGGAGCTCACAAGGAGCAATCACACCTCAGCCTCTTCTGGGCTCATTACCATATTCATTCACTTCAACCTGAGTTCTAGGACATTGTTTGGATATTCTCTCATTAATTACTTAAGCTCAGATAGATCTCCTATGCCCATTTATGAAATATCATTTAGTAAAGCAGAGAAATCTCTTTCCCCTAAGCAGTTGCATAGCTATATAATTTATTCATAAACAGTAATAGAAAGGCATAAATAATTATTTAAGTTATTTAAGCTCTGATAAAGATCACAGCCAGAGTCACCCCTAGCCATCACTGTAGGTACAGATAGCTTCCCCTTACTTCTGGAAACATAGTTTCACATTCAGTTCACTCAAAATATCAAGCAAAATATTTTATTAAAAATTCTCTTTGTCTTCTTTGCAAGATCAAGTTTAATACTTTGTGGAGGTCCCTCCATCTTCTTCCTCTTTGTCTTCTTCAGGTTTTCTCGAGTTAACTCTTTCAGTCTCTCCAAAAAGTGCTGTGAGAGAACTGTCTCACAGAATGCTTTTTAAACCATTCTCCTCCAAGCTTCCCTGCATCATAAAAAATAAAAAACAATAACTATAGCAGAGGCTTTTGAAACAGGTGCTACATGACTATAAACTAATATGAGGACCCTGAGACAAGATACAACAATGAGTAATGTTCTATCTCTGCAGGATCTACAGTCTAGAAGGACAGATAGAAAATTTAAAGTAGATTGTACTAGATTATCCCCATAACAGTAGGCAGCATCTTCTGCAAAAGCAAGGTAGCTAGTAAAAACCTAATCAAACTACATTCAAGACTTTCCACTATCTGACTCCAACCGACCTCTCCAGCACCATATTCATTTCCACAGATACTTAAATTAAAGCCAAACTATTAGTTTTTTCATGATCTTCCTTGCTCTTGCCCACTTCTATATGTAAAGCATGTTCCCTCCTAATCTCTACCTTTCAAAATTATTCTCTTCCTTCAAGGCCCACTTCAGGTTCCAAGTCCTCCAGGAAGCCTATAGGAGGTAGTCATTGACTGTTGAATTCAACAAAAATTTGACAAGCATAATGTATTCAAGGAAATGTTCTAAGTGTAAAAGATGCAAGACAAAAACAATATACTCCCTGTCCTCAAGGAACTTGCATTCAGTTGATAACATACAACTTGTACACACTGATAAGTAAATGCCAGGTGTGTATTTATGTATATATCCATACAATCATATTCAACAAATCTAAGAGTGCGAGAAAGCTAACAAATGGCAGATCAGGAAAAGGTGGAAGCTGACCTGAGATATGAAGGAAGCCAGGATTCTGCAAGGAAGGTAAGGAACTGATGTATATGAGACATGGAGGATCATGCGTACAAACATTTCAAGGCAACAAACCAGAGAATCGGTGAAAGGGAATAATACAAAATAAGATGCAGAAAATTGGCAGGAGCCAGATTATGGAATTTGAGTCTAAGGATTGCCATTTTAAAGGCAACAGGAAATCATGGAAGATTTTGCTCCCAGAAGGGGAGTTGGTGGTGGAGAGGATAATCAGTTTCACTGAATTCAGGTAGGTATGCTGTTAATAGTGATAAGAGATTTGGAAATCAGGAGCTATGGGCTCTTGTCTTGCTGAGAAACCTTGGGCATTTTCTTCTGAGTTTCAAGTTCCTCATCTCTAAAATGAGAAGGTTGCAATAGAAGTTCTGCCTTCCTCCTTTAACAGTTCATTAATCACTAAACCAGGTTCACCTCTACCAAAAAAAAAAATCTATATAACAAGCTGACCACTGATAGGATGCTATCTCTACAGGAAACCAATATCCCTGAAGAGTCTCTGCTAACTGTGGTGAAGCCAGGCCTGCCCACAACGGCTGACTTGCATGTGCTTCTGCCATCACCTAAACCAAAGAGGAAGAGGAGCATACCAAGTGATAAGGTAAGCCAGCCATCTCAGAGAATTTGAATATACACATATATAGCCTGTTAATCATCAGAATCATAGAAATCATGTTGCCTTGGGAGCAATAGTTTGGCATATATAAGCATAGAACTTGAGAGATCTGGGTTCTAGTTCAAACTCTAATATTAGCAGTGTTGATGAATACTTGCTGATTGATTTATCCTGATACATGACCTTAAGCAAGTCACTTAACTTCTCTAAGATTCAGTACTTTCTCCTATTAAACAGAAATAATAATCCTTATACTCCAATACTACCTTAGAGGATATCCTCTAGGGGGAGGAAAAGACTTTGTAAACCTGAAAGTAGCGTAGAAAGATGACTGACTTTGTTGTTTATTACATTTTATAGAAAGTCTCATTGGATTTGGAGCTGGAAGATCATCTAATCCAAGCTCAATTTTACAGAGTAGAAAGAGACCCAGAAGAAAAGCAGTCTGCCTAAGTCTCATACTGGTGAAGGACAGCTTCATTTCAGCCAAACAAACCCTATGTTGTTTTATTGTCTTGTGGAAGTGGGAGTTTGCGGGCTTTGTTCCTTTTGGTGTGATATACATATTGACCCTATGTCCTGGAAGTTAGGGTCTTGCCATATCCTTAAATATATCTCCTCATTGCCCATTCTTCTAATAGCTTGTTCAAAGAGGTTGTTCTCCTTGTTCTAACTTTTGATTACCTCCTCCTCCTGGATCTTTTTTTTTCCCTTGCTTTCCTTAAAATCCTCTTTCTAAGATCTCATTTCTCCATCTCCTGCATTGGTTCATTTTCTTTCTCCCATCTCTTAAAAAGAAAGTATATCCCAAAACTCTATCCTACATTCTCTTCAGTTCTCATCTACTCAAATGGATTCAATTGTCACCTTAAAGCCTATGGCTCCAAAATCTATACATACTGCCCTGATTTCTTTCCTAATTCTTCCTTTCCTTAGTCTCACATTTCTTACTAGCCTCTGGACAACTTCACTGGTATTTCACAATTGCACCTCCAACTCAATGGACCCTAACTCATACTCACTATTTAAACCTGCAATTCTTGCCTTATCTATTTCACCCAGATTTATAACCTTATAGTCATCTTCAATTCTTCCCTCTTCCTCAGTCTGCACATAAAATCAGTTGTCAAGTCTTATTAACTTTTCTTCTTCACTTTATCTCCCATCTGTCTTTTTTCCCATTTTTTCCCATTCTTCTAGCCAACCCCCTGCCTAGTTTGGGCTCTTTTCACTCTTCACCAAGATTCTGTTACCTCCTGACTTTTCTTTCTTCAGTCTCTTCTCTCATTTATTTGGTATTTTCTATATGCCAGCTATTATACTACACAAAGCAAAAAAAATCCATTATCTGAAGGACTGTACATTTTTGGGGGCTGGGCAATGGGGTTAAGTGACTTGCCTAAGATCACACAGCTAGTAAGTGTCAAGTGTCTGAGGCCAGATTTGAACTCAGGTCCTCCTGATTCCAGGGCCGGTACTCTATCCACTGCACCACCAAGCTGCCCCAGGACTGTACATTCTAAAGACAGAGAGAAGATAACGTGTAAATAGCTAGGTATACACACACACACACACACACACACACACACACACATGCAGCCTATGAAGATAATCTGAAAAGGAAGACATTAGCAGCTTGGGAAACCAGAAAGGTGTCTGGTAGAAGTTAGGAGGCAGAGAATTTCAAGCGCAGGGGCAGTCCAAAATAACATTAGCATTTTTTTTGGCTGCTATATGATACTGCTGACACTTCATAGTTCACCTAAATATCCAGATATTTTCATTAAAAATTTCAGAACAAATTCCAAAAAATGCTTTCTATTCATGACTACCCTGTACACTTGTTCAGTTGAATTTCTTATTTGCTAAATTGATTAAATGCCAGAACTAGCAAAAATGCAGATAGAAACATATAGGAAATTAACTGAAAACAAAGTGCATAATCCCAAATTATAAAGTATAGATGCATTTGAATTGAAATTTAAATCAGAAACAGACCAGGGTCTTAAGGACTGCTGGATCACTGACCATGGTGCTGAAATATCTGAAATCCGAGGAATTCTGCTGTCAGAATTCTTAACTTCCTGGCTGGAGGACTGAATTAATTACAACTTGAGAATTAAGGAAATAAAAACATAGTGTTTAAAAGTGGGAGAACTTATAGAATTTTTCAACCTAAAAGGGACCTTAGAAGTCAATTACTCTACAATCCCCTCATTTGAGAGATGAGAAAATAAAAGTCTAGAGGAAGTGACTTGTCCAAGGTCACACAGATATCAAGTATCTGAGCCAGAATTGTGACCCCTATCTAAATCCAATGCTCTCTCTAATATATCACCCTTCCTATAATGACCGAGTGTCAGCCAAATCAGTGGTCCTGGGTAGGAAACAACTGATTTTAGTGCCTTTGACACCTGCACATTGTGGATAAACAAATGTTCCTGGATAGCAGTGGTTACTGCTTCTACAGAATGACAGCTTCTCCTATCCAGGTGACATTTCATATTAGTGTCATCTATAAAACCCTGACAGTTTGTAATACCCTTTTCTGGTAATCTCTGATACTGCCCACCTTTGCTTTTTCTGCTTTTCTCCTCCAGCCCACCCAGCGTACAAAATGAAGATGTGTCTTCTTTTAATCAAAATGATCATTTTGAAAAATGTGCATGCATATATTCTACAAAAATAGTCTATCAAAGAATCTTAGTCCAACAAAGTCTTTCCTTTCCACTGCCTGGCAGTCATATCCTGCATCCCTGCTGTTAGTTAGATATATTTTGTTCCCAGTCAGGGCTACTAGTACTTATGAAGTGTAGATCCATCCTATCCTTATAGATATGGTAGACCAGGGTTCTGTGCTGGGTCATATTAGTGTAGCATGTGTGTAGATGGAAAGAATTGTTGAGAGGACTGGTGACCATGTCTTACAAAGATCAAATGAAGAAATTTACATGAATTAAAGTAGATTTAGAAAAAAAAACATCCTCACTATCTTCAAGTGTTTGAAAGATTGTCATTAAGAAGGTGAATTAGCCTTGTTTTGCCTACCCTGAGAGGACAATTAGGAGAAATTACAAAGGAGGCAGGTTTGGGTTCAATATTTGGATGAACCCTCAAATGACTACAGCTGTTCTAAATTGGGAATCAATTTTCTCAGTAGGTAATGACTTTACCAGCACCAGAGGTCTTCATCAAGAGGCTATGTTATCAGAGATTTTGTAGAGCAGATTCTGACTCAAATATGGGTTGGAATATAAGCCCTCTAAGGTCTCTTCCAATTTGACATTACAGATTCTCTTTCATCAGTAAAAGAGAATAAAGCACGTGTGGGAGAAGGACAACAGCCATCAGAATATTATGAGATTCTGGTCATTTCAGTACCCAGTTGTATGTTTATTGCACTAATCTAGTTCTATGAACACAGTAGTAACTACTTGGTTACTGTGTCTACTCCACCTGGGTCAAAGCTTCCTGAATCAACTAGTAGAAACAGAATCATAGAACCAAAGAATACCTGAGCTGAAAGAGCAGAATAAGGTTAGAATAAGGAAACTCAGATCCCCTGCAGGTCTGAGATTCTGGGCAGTCTTAGGACTTTTCCACTTTGTGTGATCCTCAGTTTCAGCTTAACTATTTACTTGACCTTGGGCAATTCCCTTCTCCTCTCCAGACTTCAATACCATCCTCTAGACAATATATAGGGTGAGAGAGGAAACAACTAGATAATCACCAAGGTCTCTTCAACTCTAATTCTGTTATTCTCTGAGTCATTCCTCCTATTCTCAACATGTAGCTCTCTCATCCCTGACCCATGCCAAGGTTCATTTTTAAGAAAAATTCCATTAAAATAAAAGCTGCTAAAAAGCTACCTCACTGAGCCCATCATGAGCCAAAGCTGAGTGTCAAGGTAGTATAGTCTCAGACCTCCCTGTGGCTTCTAACCTGTGCAACACAAGCGGCCAATAGAGGGGCTTCAATGCCTCTGCCATTTTGGATATCCTGCTTGCATTAGGAAGTGCAGAAGGCTGTTTTTCCATTAGTGAATACTGGTCTAAGGATAGCATCTTGACAAACTAAAGAACAAGATAAAATATAGAATATCAAAAGACCAAAGAGGAAGTACAATGAAAAGAAAACTAGGCTAGAAATCAGAAAACCTGAATTTTGGTCATAGCTTTGTTACTAATAAGGTATACACTGAAAAGTCATTTTCCCATTCTAGATCTTAGTCTACTTAGAGTATGCCTGGAGTCAGGAAGACCTGAGTTCAAATCCAGCCTCAAACACTTACTACTTATGTGACCTTGCGCAAATCACTTAACTCTGTCTGCCTTAGTTTCCTCACCTGTAAAATGAGCTAGAGAGGGAGATGGCAAACCACTCTTTGCCAAATAAACCTCAAAGCAGGTCACAAAGAGTTGGGGACACAACTGAAAATGACTAAACAACAACAATGATACTTATCTATAAAATAAGGGACTAGAATAAGATGATTTATAAGGTCTCTTACAACTCTAAAATTCTGTGTTCTATAGGCCTTTCCAGCTTAAATAGTGTATGTCCCATGGTCTCTTCTGGTTCTAATATTTTTGATGCTGCTTGGCTCTCTCAAAACCCTGAGTTTTTACCTCAGCTGAGGCTGGAGGGCCTTAACCAGTGTTCTCTAGAAATGTTGAGGCCCTCTAGAAAGGAAAGAGAAGTTCTTTTGACCTTTTATAGACTAGAGTACAAGTCCTTTCTACTTTGCATTTTTTTGTCAGGTGAAACAGAGCTTCCTATATTCAGTGTATTGTTAACTTGAGGATCTGCATGAGCTGATGCCTCTTTACCTATTCCTCAGAGACCTGGACTTGAGAATCACAAAGAACATCAAAGGGTTAAGTGATGATGACCCAGTATCGCTAGATTAGCAAACTGGCATTGACTTCATCCTTGACCAAACCATTGTAGATGTCCCCCTCCCCTCATAATCTTTTATACAGGTT